CACAAAGAAATGTGTCGACAGTCCGTTGCATCTCATGCAAAATATCAAACGCATGCCTTATTAAACAAGCTCCGCTAACTTTCTCGTGGTGTATGATTGGTCGTAAACAAACATAATTCTGAATAACATCAAGTTGGGATAGGCCTCCGAGCAAAGAAAAACGTTGCATTCATTTTCCCTTATGGAATTGCCCGAGAAAGGAAGCCAAGTCGTGCTGCTGGCTCGATGAAGGTTTCACGAGATTTAAAAGAGTGCTGCGAAGTGCGCAGAGGATGTATCACCTTTGATAGACGGATGGTGAACTACCCCACTTGCAATAGCACCGATACGTAGTATAATTGGGATGGGTAAGTTTTTTTTTTTAATACTAAACGCTTAATTTGTATAACACATTTAATTTAAAGTACCGTTTGTACTGCTGTTATACTACAAAGTATAATTGGCATAACAAAAACAGTCGTGTTACTATTATACTATAGATGTGTAATTGACACAAACAACAGGTTACGTGTTGCTTCTTTATCATAAGACCAGGTACCGGATTGGGTGGGTATCTAAATCGTAAATACGTATGGTTTTGGACAATAGTACTGCTTGGCGTGTAAATAAGTAAATGTAAATGAAAGAGTAAACTATCTCCACTTGTCCGTTATACTTAAACGTCTTGGGGGTGCTGGTACATACACGAAATACGCATTGTTCAGCCAATTACATTTTTGATTCCTGTACCGATCCAAAGGCATTCCAGTACGCGCATGGATCCCGTAGTCAGCTGATAACAGAAAGGTTTGAGTTTGGTCTGAACACATTCGCTGTCTGATTACCACTGTGTTGGTGGAGCATCATCCTCGCCACGAACGTTAATCGCCACCATTTAACAGCCTTGCCACTGCCCTCTATACGCGCACAAAACCTTTGGTGTATTCTATTCGAGAATCTTAGTCAGCAGATCCTAACTACCAAGCGTCATGCAAAAGTACTCCACCCTTGCCAGGACCATTCGCACCCCCTTACGCTACTTGATTGTTGTGGGAGATGTGGTGTAGGAGAACACACAAATACGTTAGATGGGGATTCCTTACACAAACCACAACAATTCGCTGAGTTAGATAGGCGCTTGTATGGCCTGTACAGGGAAGCGCACTAGCAGTGTGGCCTCGCCCTCGCCGAGTTTCGACTAACCAAGTCAGATTCCCTGAGGTACAGCCGAGTTCGACTCAACCGACCTCGGCACCCTGGATGTATTGTGCACCGGCCGCCGAGGTCGGTGGACTTTTCCTTTCTTTGAGCGGAGCGAGACTCTTTGCCCTACCCGGGCCAACTTAATTTCTTGGTGCTGCCAGTCGAGTATCGACAAGCTAGGCCTCTCGGTACCGACATCTAACATAATCTGGTCCTGTGCAAAGACTTACCGAAAGAGTCTTGGACTAGGAATTCTGCTCGGTTATTTTTATTTATATATATATGGGGGGGGCTTTAGCTACTTCTATATTCTCCTATGTCCTATGTTTCTTTTACAAATACAAAGTGAAATGAAGTCGTTTCGGATATCACCGAGTTCCTTCCGCAAACCTCGGCGACCGTTGACTTAGCGGTCGTCCGGACAATGGTATCCGTCCGATATCCCGAGTTTGTACTGTAATCTACAGCTCCTTAGCTCACGATTACTTTGGCTTTTCGTCGCCGAACTGCAATACATGAGTCCCCCAACACCCCAAGGATGCGCGTTGAGCTAGGACGAGAAGCTA